GGGTCCAGGGGTCAGTGTGTCTTTTAAAAATTCTTATTAAAACATTTTTATCGGAAAGTTTTTATGAATGTTTGGACAATCTATATTTTCCTGTGACTTTCTTCTGCTTTATGACGTGTTTGTTTTTAATTCCCCTTTTTCTTTCTTTGTCAATCTCTTAAGAAAAGTTCTATTTAATAAAGTTTATTATTATTATTATTATTATTATTACTGGTCAAAATCAAACTGATCAATAAACCTGCATCACATCTGACATTTCTGAAGGAAAACACAGAGGAGTCTGCTTTATCAAATATATGAAGTTTATACATTTCCAACAAATAAACTCAAAGGAAAATATTAGATTAAACTAAAGTCAAGTTAAAGAGACAAATGTATGTGCACACTGTAAATCGTCCCTGACAGTATTTCTTTATGTCGTGAATGAGTTCCCTGAAACGTCCCACAGTGACCAGAGTGTGGCGCTGCAGACTCAGTGACGTTAACACAGACTCTGTCTTTAGTTAACTATGTTCTAAACTACTGTATGTTTCTGTTCTGGTGAGATTTCCTCTGTTTATACTCCCAATGCTAAAAATAAACTGAAATGAGGAAGAAAATAACAGACACAAATAAAGAGTTTAAAAACCTAATGAATGGAAACTGAAACTGAACTTTTTTCAGTTTCACTCTGATTCATACAGAAGCTCTGAGAGGCAAGAGAAGAAAATACTGTCAGGAAAAGAGGCTGTGATTCTACTACTTCTACTACTACTACTACTACTAATATTACTAATATTATTATTATTAATAATAATAATAATAATTATAATTTCATCTACAACAAGTTTGTTTTTGTAAGAAAAAATACAATCTGCCAAAAGGCAAGAGAAGAAAATTGTAATTATAAAATGAAAAGTTTCCGGTCCTCTGTAGAGCGGGGTGGAGGCACACTTCAGCCTCTTGTGGTCGAAATGTGTTTTACAACAACAAGCACTTAAAGTTTGTCTCTCAGGGCTTCCGTAGTTAAAGATTAAATTAAATTATAAATTACCAATAAAAAATCATCCAGATAAATTTGTTAGAAACACTCACACAGATTTTATCTTCCAGCTACTTTGCAAACTCCAGATGTTGTTGTTGTTGTTGTTGTTGTTGTTGTTTTTGTTGGAGGTGTGAGTGATGAGGAAATAAACTGTGCAACTACCACAATAAAAGCCTATAAAAACCTGTAAACTCACATAAATCTTTTATTTTGCTTGTGTTTGAAACCTGGTAGTAAATGTTCTGAGACCCACGAGCAGGTCCTTGACCCGGAGGTTAGGAACCACTGCTTTAAGGTAAGTGTTGTCTTCAGATGTCTGTGGTGTGTTCAGGGGTTTTTATAATGGAGACAAATGTGAATAATATCTGCTACAGTATTTTTCCACTGTCTGAACATGAACGCGACTTCACTGATCTTCAGTAAAGTAACATTGTGGTTTGTGATGTTTAATACGTAGTACGAGTCCCAACATGCGACCGAGACATGCATCATGTCCCTGCAGCTTCACTCAGCAGCCTGAGTCACTGACAGGAAATCCGTCCACGAGGGGCGGGTCCACTGCTTCAAACTGACCTTCAGCTTCAAACTGACCTTCAGCATCAAACTGACCTTCATCTTAAAACTGACCTTCAGCTTAAAACTGACCTTCAGCTTCAAACTGACCTTCAGCATCAAACTGACCTTCAGCTTAAAACTGACCTTCAGGTTTTACTAATGTTTCTCCAGCATCTCCCGACAACGTTGTCTCAACATGTGCGACGTGTTTCACACCTGAACACAGTCACTAACTGGAAACTCCTCATTCCTTCATCACAGCTGATTATTGAATTCTTATACGACTGTCCCGACCTTTCAGATGTGGCTCTATGGTTAAACTGACACTTTGATTTGAACAAACTTTCTCCTCATTAATGATCTTACAAGTTCAAAAATGATCAACATTTTTCATCTCTGTGATGTTTCAGTGTCATGAGTGAACATGTTCAGAGCATCAGGGTGTGTTAAAGAGGTGGATCATCCAGACAAAGCACCGCTCAATGTGATGTCTGAGTGTCTCACCGTGATGATGTCACCGGCCCGGATGTTGAGGGCGGTGGGATCGTGGAGGTTCCAGTAGTCCTTCAGAGCTCTGACCTGCAAGACTCCCGTCGCATCTGTGGAGGGAACACCCGGAGTTAGATCTGTTTCCCATCTGTTTCCCTAACCTCCAAAAATGTGTGTATATATACACACATATTTATATATATTATTCAGCTGCTGAAAATAGTACCCAAACTATGTTTCCTTCTGTTTGTTTGTCTTTAAAAAATTTAAAAATAAAAATTAATAATTATATATACAGTATATATATATATATGGCTCTTGTTTATTGAAGAGTGGCCACTCTGTTTTGCCAGTCCTAATTCTTTCAAGCATATTTCCAGGGTTTAAAGAGATATTTCATGTTTGTTTGTTTGTTTATTCAGATCCCCATTAGCTTTTGCATTGCAGCAGCTATTCTTCCTGGGGTCCATACAGGTATGATGTTGACAATACAGCCATACAT